TGGATGAATGGATGGATGGATGATGGATGGATGGATGATGGATGATGGATGATGGATGGATGGATGATGGATGGATGGATGATGGATGATGGATGATGGATGGGTGGATGATGGATGATGGATGGATGGATGATGGATGAATGGATGATGGATGGATGGATGATGGATGGATGATGATGGATGATGGATGGATGGATGATGAATGGATGATGGATTGATGGATGAATGAATGAATGAATGATGAATAGATGGATGATGGATAGATAAAGAATGGATGATTGATGAATGGATGATGGATGGATGATGGATGGATGGATGGATGAATGAATGATGAATGATGGTTAACCCTCAACCCTTTATAGATTCTAACAGCTTCACTTCTTGTAATAGATTTCAGACTCCATATTGCTGCCGTACTTTTATTTTGCAAAGTAAACAGGAAGTAGACTCTTCAGGCGGAACAAGCCTACGTTGACAACCTAGAGCGTTTGCGGTTGCTAAGCAACAAGTAACGGCAAAGCTGCATTAGTTGTTGATTTGAAACAGAACTGGAACCACAATCAGAACCTGATTGCTCTAACAGAACCGGCCCTTGAGAGAACCCGTCTGTTTGGGTCAGAAGATCCCAGATTTTCAGGTTTTGTCAGATGAATGTTTTAGAGGTTTCTGACATGTTTCACAGTCCAGGACAAAAATAAAGCAATAATGATGATGATGGTTCCAGTTCTGCAGTAAACACTGGAATGAAACTGGTTCATCTCCAACCGGCTAGAACTGGGCCAGCAAACGGGTCGGAAGCAAACAGAAGAAATCTGTCAGGTTTCTGTGGTTCTGCTCTAACAGGTTTTATTTTTCACGCTTGAACAAAGTGGATCAGCTGAAAATATGATGGATAATAAAACAGGAATAAAACTAATAATCAATTCTAGTATTATTATTGGATTACTGCTGGGCACCTTCTAGGGTTAAACTACATGCTGGTCTCATCTCCACTAGAGGCAGCAACGTCTCCTCTGATCAGAATCAGGCTCGTTGCGCTTTGACCTCTGACCTCCATGAGGCAGTCACAGCTTCATCACCTGCAGAAGAAGCAGAATTCTGATGCTCATCTAGTCAGACCATCTGCCGCCAGTGGGCTTCAATTCAGGATTCAGTCAGACCCTGACTGACCTGACCCGAACCGGTCCGACCCGGCGTTTCGCTCCCTCAGAGCAGTCGCTATTAAAGGGTCCAGAGATCAGAGGGTTTCCCAGCAGAATCTTTGTCTTTGGACCTGGATCCAGTCTGAGAGGTTTTTAGTTCTGCTAATAGTTTCTCTGATCGATGGTTCTGTTCAAAGCGCTGACTGAATGAAATCCTCCTGCTGCCGGTTCTGATTCTAATGAGGTTCTGATGCTCTGAGGTTCTGATTCTGCTGAGGTTCTGATGCTGCTGAGGTTCTGATTCTCTGAGGTTCTGATTCTAATGAGGTTCTGATGCTCTGAGGTTCTGATTCTGCTGAGGTTCTGATGCTGCTGAGGTTCTGATTCTCTGAGGTTCTGATTCTAATGAGGTTCTGATGCTCTGAGGTTCTGATTCTCATGAGGTTCTGATGCTCTGAGGTTCTGATTCTAATGAGGTTCTGATGCTCTGAGGTTCTGATTCTCATGAGGTTCTGATGCTCTTAGGTTCTGATTCTA